ACCGCTGGTCCAAACAACTTCAAACTTTGCACTGCACATTCTGTTGTCCCGAAAAATATACCCGCCGATTTTCAATTTCATACGGTGCCCGGTTCTGGAGATAATCGACGGACAGACAGACAGACAGAGATTCCTGGAATTATAGTAAGACTAGTGCAGGGCCAGTCGAAAATGTGCGTGTTCGGAAGGGGCAGTTGAGAACTGCAGCTCGTGCAAACAACGCACATTATTCAACGGTGTGAACGCACACTCGCAAGTTAAACTCCAAAATGTCGTCCCCCCCGGCACATACAGTGCAGTGATGGTTGCTCAGTTGAGTACAAAATGCATGTGCCCGTGCATGCCACTCACGTATATACGTACGAAGACATGGTGTGCAGTGCTATCGCCCTACAATGTGCCCGTCATTTTTGCAGGGCCCGTCAACAAAAATGCACCTGTTCGTTAGGGGCAATTTCAAAATGCTCATATCATGCAAACAATGCACACGATTCAATTGTGTTGTTTTCACAGGTTAAACTCACACTCATAGGTTGAGGGCACTTTGTACATGTCGCCAGGCCATCCCCGGCACTGAAATTCACCAATACGCCCGTGCAGCTACTCACCTACGTGAGTAAGGTTGCTCAATCCACCGCCTACAATAGTGGTTCAATCGACTGCAAAATGCACGTGCCCGTGCAGTCATCACGTACGGAAACATTATGATACCCAGTGCTATTCACCCATACTGGACAATGGTATCGCCCTACAATGCACGTGCGCGTACCCGTCCCTTTTTTCATTGTTGCGTCATATTAAGCACGCGCGCTCTTGCTCAAATATTACGTAAACAATTGAAAAAAAAACAGCAGTGCGCGCCGGGTTCTAGGCTATATTCTGGCGCGCTATGCTTCAGAAAATACTGCTTTTTTGCAGCTTTTTCGACAACCGCTCGTCCAAACCACTTCAAACTCGGCACTGCACATTCTGCTGTCCCGAGCAATACACCCGCCGATTTTCAACTCCATACGGTGCCCGGTTCTGGAGATAATCGGCGGACAGACAGACAGACAGACAGACAGACGACAGACAGACAGACAGAGATTCCTTGAATTGTAGTATAGACTAGTGCAGGGCCAGTCGAAAATGTGCGTGTTCGGAAGGGGCAGTTGAGAACTGCAGCTCGTGTAACAACGCACATTATGCAATGGTGTGAACGCACACTCGCAAGTTAAAACGCACAAAATGTCGTCACCCCCCTGGCACTGATATTTAACCCTACTGGACAATATGGTACCGCCCAACAACTGTAGGGCGTAGTTGTAGGGCGTAGTTGTAGGGCGATACCATATTATATTAGAGTTGCTCAGTCGACCGCCTACATACAGTGCAGTGATGGTTGCTCAGTTGACTACAAAATGCATGTGCCCGTGCATGCCACTCACGTATATGTACGTACGAAGACATGGTGTGAACGCACACTCGCAAGTTAAACTCGCAAAATGTCGTCACCCCCCCCCCCCCCTGGCACATACAGTGCAATGATGGTTGCTCAGTTGAGTACAAAATGCATGTGCCGTGCATGCCACTCACGTATATGTACGTACGAAGACATGGTGTGCAGTGCTATCGCCCTACAATGTGCCCGTCATTTTTGCAGGGCCCGTCAAAAAATGCACCTGTTCGTTAGGGGCAATTTCAAAATGCTCATATCATGCAAACAATGCACACGATTCTATTGTATTGTTTTCACAGGTTAAACTCACACTCATAGGTTGAGCGCACTTTGTACATGTCACCAGGCCATCCCCGGCACTGATATTCACCAATACGCCCGTGCAGCTACTCACCTACGTCAGTAAGGTTGCTCAGTCCACCGCTTACAATAGTGGTTCAATCGACTGCAAAATGCATCACGTACGGAAACATTTGGTACGCAGTGCTATTCACCCATACTGGACAATGGTATCGCCCTACAATGCACGTGCGCGTACCCGTCCCTTTTTTCATTGTTGCGTCATATTAAGCACGCGCGCTCTTGCTCAAATATGACGTAAACAATTGAAAAAAAACAGCAGTGCGCGCCGGGTTCTAGGCTATATTCTGGCGCGCTAGGCCACAGAAAATACTGCTTTTTTGCAGCTTTTTCGACAACCGCTCTTCCAAACCACTTCAAACTAAGCACTGCACATTTGGTTGTCCCAAGCAATACACCTGCCGATTTTCAACTCCATACGGTGCCCGGTTCTGGAGATAATCGGCGGACAGACAGACACAGTGACAGACAGACAGACAGACAGACAGAGATTCCTTGAATTGTAGTATAGACTAGTGCAGGGCCAGTCGAAAATGTGCGTGTTCGGAAGGGGCTGTTGAGAACTGCAGCTCGTGCAAATAACGCACATTATTCAATGGTGTGAACGCACACTCGCAAGTTAAACGCACAAAATGTCGTCACCCCCCGGCACTGATATTTACCCCTTACTGGACAATATGGTATCGCCCTACAACTGTAGGGCGTAGTTGTAGGGCGATACAATATTGTATTAGAGTTGCTCAGACGACCGCCTACATTAGGCTACATACAGTGCAGTGATGGTTGCTTAGTTGACTACAAAATGCATGTGCTCGTGCCCGTGCATGCCACTCACGTACGAAGACAGTGTGCAGTGCTATCGCTCTACAATGTGCCCGTCCTTTTCCATTGTTGCGTCATATTGAGCACACGCGCTTGAGCTTTACATGACGTAAACAATTGAAAAGAACATCAGCGCGTGGAGTTCTAGGCTATATTCTGGCGCGCTAGGCTTCAGAAAATACTGCTTTTTTGCAGCTTTTTCGACAACCGCTGGTCCAAACAACTTCAAACTTGGCACTGCACATTCTGCTGTCCCGAGCAACACACCCGCCGATTTTCAACTCCATACGGTGCCCGGTTCTGGAGATAATCGGCGGACAGACAGACAGACGGACAGACAGACAGACAGAGATTCCTTGAATTGTAGTATAGATGTTCATGAACGGGTGCAGGCCAGCTAGACTGGTTCCCAGGGCCAGTCGAAAATATGCGTGTTCGGAAGGGGCAGTTGAGAACTGCAGCTCGTGCAAACAACGCACATTATTCAACGGTGTGAACGCACACTCGCAAGTTAAACGCACAAAATGTCGTCAACCCCCCCCCCCCCCCGGCACATTCTGTGCAGTGATGGTTGCTCAGTTGAGTACAAAATGCATGTGCCCGTGCATGCCACTCACGTATATGTACGTACGAAGACATGGTGTGCAGTGCTATAGCCCTACAATATGCCCGTCATTTTTGCAGGGCCCCGGCACTGATATTCACCAATACGCCCGTGCAGCTACTCACCTACGTGAGTAAGGTTGCTCAATCCACCGCCTACAATAGTGGTTCAATCGACTGCAAAATGCATGTGCCCGTGCAGTCATCACGTACGGAAACATATGGTACGCAGTGCTATTCACCCATACTGGACAATGGTATCGCCCTACAATGCACGTGCGCGTGCCCGTCCTTTTTGCATTGTTTGCGTCATATTGAGCACGCGCGCTCTTGCTTTAACATGACGTAAACAATTGAAAAGAACATCAGTGCGCGGAGTTCTAAGCTATATACTGCCGCGTTTGCCTCAGAAAATGCTGCTTTTTTGCAGCTTTTTCGACAACCGCTCGTCCAAACCACTTCAAACTTGGCACTGCACATTCTGCTGTCCCGAGCAACGCACCCGCCGATTTTCAGCTCCATACGGTGCCCGGTTCTGGAGATAATCGGCGGACAGACAGACAGACGGACAGACGGACAGACAGACAGAGATTCCTTGAATTGTAGTATAGATGTTCATGAACGGGTGCAGGCCAGCTAGACTGGTTCCCTTACCTTACAATTTTCTGGCAACTATAAATTGATCCATTTCATCTTTAGTGAAGTCAGGGAACCAGACTACTTGAAAAAATTTGTTTTTCTTGGTTTTTCCAGCATTTTCGAACATAAAACTTCAAACATGTCAGTGTAACAATATTTGATATATTAAAGGGAAAACGAAATGATCAAATTATCACGAAATACCCCACTGAATTGTTAGGGACTGATAGTCTAAAACATCCTTTAAAATCGTGGCTCCTGGTGACATTTCAAGAATTTTTTTTTTCCAACGCTGGTCGGCCGACCAGCGTTGGAGAAAACTGGCCTTTTTTAAAAACTGTTCCTAATTGTTCATATTTAGTTATTCTGACTTTTCTTTGCAAATGATTACACACCTGTGAAGGGGTACAAGCCTGCTAGACTGATTCTCCGACCTTACAATTCCCCAAAGTGTATTAATTGCTCCGTTTCATCTTAAGTGGGGTCAGGGAACCAGACTACAAGAACATGATAGGTTTTCTTGGTTTTTCCAGCATCTACAAGCCCAAAACGTGAAACAAGTCAGTTTAACAATATTTTCTATAACATACTAATCCTCCAAATCCATTTATTTCTGAAAATTGCAGCAAAAGCAAATGTTGTACATTCCCTTTAAACTAACCCCTCAAATACTCCATTTCTGAAAATTACAGCAAAAGCCAATCATGTACATTCCCTTTAAGCGGGCCCCAAACCCCATGGGGTTCGGGGCACGCCGTAATTTTTTTGACCCACTTTTTGGGGGGACCAATTTTTTTTGGCCCCCCCCCCCAAAAAAAAACGTGTTCTGAATCCGCCCTTGGGGAAACGCAGATACATGTATGGGATGTTTTCTTCACAGCTTGACTGATTTGTGCGTTTATAATGTCTGTGGGTGGAATTGCGCAGTCAATGAAACGTGTTTGGCGCCCTCAATATTGAGGGCGCCATCAAACGCGGTTCACCGTTCAATAGACCGCGGTGCAGACGCGTTCGATAATTGACGCGCGAAGGTGTGCGACGCCATGTTGTGGGACAAAATGTGCATGGATAGATATGCGCTTGTCCCACAACATGGCGTCGCGCGCCTTCGCGCGTCGATTATCGAACGCGTCTGCAAGCGGTCTATTGCCAAACACGCAGCCGTCTGGTGTGCAGTTTGTTTACTTGTCTGCGTTTGTGGGTCTTTGGTCGAGACCCTTCCACTCCAGTTTCATTCATATTTCTTTATCATATTTGTCGTTAATATTCATAGGACTGAAGACATGGTGTACAACCTCCGTCACTCCGTTCCTTTGGAATATATTCAGCGTTAACATCTAGTGGACTTTGCTGAGTACCTGCGTAGGGTAGATCTAGATGACTCGCGTTGACATGGTTGACTTCTGGCATGTCTAGCAAACCGGCGATCGTCTGCTTTTGATAAAGGTGATTTTTGCGCAATAAAAAACATTTTTGACTCTTATTTGATCAAAACAAAACAGGGGGTCTACAATTCACGATCGGCAGCAAACCTCCACGTGGGCTTGATTATCTTCTGTTGTTGGTTGAGGCATGTGTTCCTTCCTCCATGGTTGAGCCAATGTCATGACGGTGGTGCAGGGGGAAGTCAACCTCTCCCAAGTAGTTAACAATTGTCAGTGTTTGCCTCACTGGAAAAAAATGTTGCAACCTGATGGCTGATGCCACTTCTGCGATTGGGTGTGTGGGTGTGTGTATAAAGTCTATAGACATGAATGAGAGTCAAGAAAAATTGCTGAGTTATTTTTCCTAACACAATTGGGAATGTTTCTCGGTGCATGCAGTCCTAGATTTATGTTGTCTATCGGTATCATCATTTTGGGGAAAGATTTCCATATACGAAGTTCACTCAACACCCTGTGTACAAACCCTATGAGATTGGACTGAAAAATTCTAAGTGTTTTCTAAGAAACTGTTTGTATTTTCTCACTGCTCAAATTGACTTTGATGACATGAAATTGCTATCTGGGGGCTTGTTAGTCCATTTGGGGCAACATATGGGACCCAAAAAATTGGACTGGTATGTGTGTAGCTACATACACTCTACATAAAAAACTAGAATAAAGCGCCCTCATCAGACAAAAAATACAAAAAATGCTGCACAAAATTCCCATGTATACGTAGTACCCGTTGCATAGGGTGATGATAGCCTTTAATTACAGAAAAAAAGACTTTCTACAGAATTTATGTCGTGCGCCAAACAGTTAAAAAAGTCTACAGACATCTACCCTGTACAGAAAAAGTCTACACGCATCTACCCTGTACAGAAAAAGTCTACATGCATCTACTCTGTACAAAAAAAGGTCTATACGCATCTACCCTGTAGAAACAAAGTGTAGATGCATCTGACCTGCACCAAAAAAAGTCTACATGCATCTACCCTGCCCCAAAAAAGTCTACACGCATCTACACTGTACAAAAAAGGGTCTACACGCATCTACACTGTACAAAAAAAAAGTCTACACGCATCTTCCCTGCACAAAAAAAGTCTACACGCATCTACACTGCACAAACATGACAAAAGAGTCTACACGCATCTACCCTGCACAAAAAAATGTCTACACACATCTACACTGTAGAAAAAAAGTCTACGCACATCTACACTGTACAAAAAAGGTCTACACGCATCTACACTGCACAAAAACGGTCTACACGCATCTACCCATGCGTGTTGTTTCTACAGGGTATGTAGACCTTTTTTTGTACAGGGTAGATGCGTGTAGACTTTTTTGGTGCAAGTCGGATGCATCTAGATTTTGTTTCTACAGGGTAGATATGTGTAGACCTTTTTTGATCCGTGTAGATTAATGATGTGCAAACTCGACCAGAAACCGAAACCGACCTCAGGGCGGTTTAGCCATCTTTTGAAAAAAAACACGAAATAAACCGAAATAAACCGAAACAGTTGAGAAATTCAGGTGATCCAACATTATTGACAGTCACTGTGACCGCAGCCCTGGTGTGGTGTGGCCACCGAGCGCACTATCAAGTTCCCACGGTATTAATTTCTCCAGTCGGATGGGACTGACAGTGAAATAGATACATTGTAACAGTTTTCATGATTACTGCGTGATGATACCATGCGTTTGTTCAATAAGCGGAGTTACTCTCGACTTTTTCTGTACAGTGTAGATGTGTGTAGACTTTTTCTGTACAGTGTAGATGCGTGTAGACTTTTTCTGTACTGTGTAGATGCGTGTAGACTTTTTCTGTACAGGGTAGATGCGTGTAGACTTTTTCTGTACAGTGTAGATGTGTGTAGACTTTTTCTGTACAGTGTAGATGCGTGTAGACTTTTTCTGTACTGTGTAGATGCGTGTAGACTTTTTCTGTACAGGGTAGATGCGTGTAGACTATTTCTGTACAGTGTAGATGTGTGTATACTATTTCTGTACAGAGTAGATGTGTGTAGATTTTTTCTGTACAGAGTAGATGTGTGTAGATTTTTTCTGTACAGTGTAGATGTGTGTAGATTTTTTCTGTACAGTGTAGATGTGTGTAGCCTTTTTTGTACAGTGTAGATGTGTGTAGACTTTTTCTGTACAGTGTAGATGTGTGTAGACTTTTTCTGTACAGTGTAGATGTGTGTAGACTTTTTTTGTACAGTGTAGATGTGTGTAGACTTTTTTTGTACAGTGTAGATGTGTGTAGACTTTTTCTGTACAGGGTAGATGGGTGTAGACTTTTTTTGTACAGTGTAGATGTGTGTAGACTTTTTCTGTACTTGGTAGATGTGTGTAGACTTTTTCTGTACAGTGTAGATGTGTGTAGACTTTTTCTGTACAGGGTAGATGCGTGTAGACTATTTCTGTACAGGGTAGATGTGTGTAGACTTTTTCTGTACTGTGTAGATGCGTGTAGACTTTTTTCTGTACAGGGTAGATGTGTGTAGACTTTTTCTGTACTGTGTAGATGCCTGTAGACTTTTTCTGTACAGGGTAGATGTGTGTAGACTTTTTCTGTACAGGGTAGATGCGTGTAGACTATTTCTGTACAGGGTAGATGTGTGTAGACTTTTTCTGTACAGGGTAGATGTGTGTAGACTATTTATGTACAGGGTAGATGCGTGTAGACTTTTTCTGTACAGGGTAGATGCGTGTAGACTATTTCTGTACAGGGTAGATGTGTGTAGACTTTTTCTGTACAGGGTAGATGTGTGTAGACTTTTTCTGTACAGGGTAGATGCGTGTAGACTATTTCTGTACAGGGTAGATGTGTGTAGACTTTTTCTGTACAGGGTAGATGTGTGTAGACTTTTTCTGTACAGGGTAGATGCCTGTAGACTTTTTGAATGGCGCACGACATAATTATGTAGATGTACCGGTACATGTACATGTAGTCTTCTTTTTTTTAACTATAGGCAACGGTACTACGTACATGTAGACATGGGTATTTTGTGCAGCATAGTTTTTTTTGTCTGATGAGAGCGCTTTATTCTAGTTTTTATGTAGAGTGTATGTAGCTACACACGTACCAGTCCAATTTTTTTGGTCCCATATGTTGCATGGTATATCACAAGTACATAACAAGTCCAGGCAAAAGTACATCACAAGTCCAGTCACAAGTACATCATAAGTCCAGTAACAAGTACATCATAAGTCCAGTTACAAGTACATCACAAGTCTAGTCACACATGCATCATAAGCCCAGTCACAAGTACATCACAAGTCTAGTCACAAGTTTAGTCACAAGTACATCACAAGTCCAGCCACAAGTACATTACAAGTCCATTCACAAGTACATCACAAGTCCAGCCACAAGTACATCACAAGTCCAGCCACAAGTACATCACAAGTCCAGCCACAAGTACATCACAAGTCCAGCCACAAGTACATTACAAGTCTAGTCACAAGTACATCACAAGTCCAGTCACAAGTACATCACAAGTCCAGCCACAAGTACATCACAAGTCCATTCACAAGTACATCACAAGTCCAGCCACAAGTACATCACAAGTCCAGTCACAAGTACATTACAAGTCCAGCCACAAGTACATTACAAGTCTAGTCACAAGTACATTACAAGTCTAGTCACAAGTACATTACAAGTCCAGTCACAAGTACATCACAAGTCCAGCCACAAGTACATTACAAGTCCAGTCACAAGTATATCACAAGTCCAGCCACAAGTACATTACAAGTCTAGTCACAAGTACATCACAAGTCCAGCCACAAGTACATTACAAGTCCAGCCACAAGTACATTACAAGACCAGTCACAAGTACATCACAAGTCCAGCCACAAGTACATCACAAGTCCAGTCACAAGTACATTACAAGTCCAGCCACAAGTACATCACAAGTCCAGCCACAAGTACATTACAAGTCCAGCCACAAGTACATTACAAGTCCAGTCACAAGTACATCACAAGTCCAGCCACAGGAACATCACAAGTCCAGTCACAAGTACATCACAAGTCCAGTCACAGGAACATCACAAGTCCAGTCACAGGAACATTACAAGTCCAGTCACAAGTACATTACAAGTCTAGTCACAAGTACATCACAAGTCCAGTCACAAGTACATCACAAGTCTAGTCACAAGTACATCACAAGTCCAGTCACAAGTACATTACAAGTCTAGTCACAAGTACATCACAAGTCCAGTCACAAGTACATCACAAGTCCAGTCACAAGTACATCACAAGTCCAGTCACAAGTACATATTACAAGTCCAGCCACAAGTACATTACAAGTCCAGTCACAGGAACATTACAAGTCCAGTCACAAGTACATTACAAGTCTAGTCACAAGTACATCACAAGTCCAGCCACAAGTACATCACAAGTCTAGTCACAAGTACATCACAAGTCCAGCCACAAGTACATTACAAGTCTAGTCACAAGTACATTACAAGTCCAGCCACAAGTACATTACAAGTCTAGTCACAAGTACATCACAAGTCCAGCCACAAGTACATTACAAGTTAAGTCACAAGTACATCACAAGTCCAGTCACAAGTACATCACAAGTCCAGTCACAAGTACATCACAAGTCCAGTCACAAGTACATTACAGGTCTAGTCACAAGTACATCACAAGTCCAGCCACAAGTACATTACAAGTTAAGTCACAAGTACATCACAAGTCCAGTCACAAGTACATCACAAGTCCAGTCACAAGTACATTACAAGTCTAGTCACAAGTACATCACAAGTCCAACCACAAGTACATTACAAGTCTAGTCACAAGTACATCACAAGTCCAGTCACAAGTACATTACAAGTCTAGTCACAAGTACATCACAAGTCCAGCCACAAGTACATTACAAGTTAAGTCACAAGTACATCACAAGTCCAGTCACAAGTACATCACAAGTCCAGCCACAAGTACATTACAAGTATAGTCACAAGTACATCACAAGTCCAGCCACAAGTACATTACAAGTTAAGTCACAAGTACATCACAAGTCCAGCCACAAGTACATCACAAGTCCAGTCACAAGTACATTACAAGTCCAGTCACAAGTACATCACAAGTCCAGCCACAGGAACATTACAAGTCTAGTCACAAGTACATCACAAGTCTAGTCACAAGTACATTACAAGTCTAGTCACAAGTACATCACAAGTCCAGTCACAAGTACATCACAAGTCTAGTCACAAGGACATCACAAGTCCAGTCACAAGTACATCACAAGTCCAGTCACAAGTACATCACAAGTCCAGTCACAAGTACATTACAAGTCTAGTCACAAGATAAACATGCACCTAGGGCTTTGTACTTTTCAATCGTATTCTCAAAGGCAAGGGCGGATCCAGGAGGGGGGGGGGGGGGGAGGGACAAAGGGGGGCCCCCCCCCCCCCCCCCCCCCCAAATGAAACCAATTTTTTTTTTTTTTAAGCTGACATCGCAATAAAGGCAGGCAATGAGTACACCACCATCTTTTCCTAAAAAAAACATTGGTTAAAGTGGTGAGAAATTGCCTCGGATCGCACCACAGAGCATCTACAATCAAAAACATTTTCGGGGCCCTCAAGCATGTTAAGGGGCCCCGAACCCCACGCCGTAATTTTTTTGACCCTCTTTTTGGGGGACCAAAACAGTAAAAAATTGTGTTCTGGATCCGCCCTTGCTCAAAGGCGGCTTCAGTTCAAAATGTATATACTACAATGTATTATCAAAAATGTACTCAAATTTGACCAAATTGTCTACTCAGATTCGCAAACCAATAGTGTCACCAGAGTTACCCTTTACGTCTTGTTCTTAACTTTCCAGGTTGTTAACTTGTTGAATGCCTTGCACACGCTGTTCGACGCCATCATTTCCAACTATGACGTCTACAAGGTAAATATTCCATATGACCAGGTTCATTTATTATGGTAAATATGCAAACATGAAATGATCAACAATACATTGACAGAAAGCACCTTACCCGTTACTGCTTGGCTTGATTCTACCATCTTAGATCTGTTTTACTTTCAGAGTACTTTACAAGCTATGCTTATAATTTGTAGTCTTGCATATTGACTGCTTCAAGTGGCATTATAAAACAGGTCTAGGAGGCTACCGGTAGTTTGATTATGCCACTCAAAGTAGTCAGTATTAAAATGGAAGGTGCCATAGTCCTTTTAGCCATGTACAAGTAGACGGAAAATAGCAAATACTATGTGATGCACACTCTCGGCCACTGAAAAACACAGAATCTGTGGGTGCGGTGATATAATTACAAAAAGTCACTTGCATTATCATTGTCAACATTACTGGGCTGTTTGCAGGCGTAGTCATGACAATCACTCAGAGGTTAAGTTGATGCTACCATGGTTACTAGTTCAGGCAAAAACCACGCAAATATGTATGTTCTATTATAATGTCTGAAAGCAAAATTAACCAGTGTTGAATAATAACATCTTGCCAAGGTTGAAAGCATCGACGATGCCTACATGTTGGTCTCCTGCCTACTGATCCGTAATGGCAGCCGTCATGCTGGTATGATCGCCTCCACTGCATGGCATCTCCTGGAGGGCGTTGATAGTTGATCATGCCACACAAACAAGATGAGAAACTCAAACTCCGCATCGGTATTCACTCAGGTAAGATCATTGTCTTTGCTTGTGGTCGAGATACTTAAGATTGATCAATCACAAATACATCACAAGTCCAGTCACAAGTACATCACAAGTCCAGTCACAAGTACATCACAAGTCCAGTCAAAAGTAAATCACAAGTCCAGTCACAAGTACATCACAAGTCCAGTCACAAGTGCATCATAAGTCTAGTCACAAGTACATTACAGTTCCAGTAACAAGTACATTACAAGTCCAGTCACAAGTTCAGTCACAAGTACATCACAAGTCTAGTCACAAGTGCATCATAAGCCCAGTCACAAGTACATTACAAGTCTAGTCACAAGTACATCATTAGTCTAGTCACAAGCACATTACAATTTCAGTCACAAGTACATTACAAGTCTAGTCACACGTACATCACAAGTCCAGTCACAAGTTCATTCACAAGTACATCACAAGTACATAACAAGTCCAGGCAAAAGTACATCACAAGTCCAGTCACAAGTACATCATAAGTCCAGTAACAAGTACATCATAAGTCCAGTTACAAGTACATCACAAGTATAGTCACACATGCATCATAAGCCCAGTCACAAGTACATCACAAGTCTAGTCACAAGTTTAGTCACAAGTACATCACAAGTCCAGCCACAAGTACATCACAAGTCCAGCCACAAGTACATCACAAGTCCAGCCACAAGTACATTACAAGTCTAGTCACAAGTACATTACAAGTCCAGCCACAAGTACATTACAAGTCCAGCCACAAGTCCATCACAAGTCCAGTCACAAGTACATTACAAGTCTAGTCACAAGTACATTACAAGTCTAGTCACAAGTACATCACAAGTCCAGCCACAAGTACATTACAAGTCCAGCCACAAGTACATTACACGTCCAGCCACAAGTCCATCACAAGTCCAGTCACAAGTACATTACAAGTCCAGCCACAAGTACATTACAAGTCCAGTCACAAGTACATTACAAGTCCAGTCACAAGTACATTACAAGTCCAGTCACAAGTACATCACAAGTCCAGTCACAAGTACATTACAAGTCTAGTCACAAGTACATCACAAGTCCAGCCACAAGTACATTACAAGTCTAGTCACAAGTACATCACAAGTCCAGCCACAAGTACATCACAAGTCCAGTCACAAGTACATTACAAGTCCAGCCACAAGTACATTACAAGTCTAGTCACAAGTACATCACAAGTCCAGCCACAAGTACATTACAAGTCCAGCCACAAGTACATCACAAGTCTAGTCACAAGTACATTACAAGTCTAGTCACAAGTACATCACAAGTCCAGTCACAAGTACATCACAAGTCCAGTCACAAGTACATCACAAGTCCAGTCACAAGTACATTACAAGTCTAGTCACAAGTACATTACAAGTCTAGTCACAAGTACATCACAAGTCTAGTCACAAGTACATCACAAGTCCAGCCACAAGTACATCACAAGTCCAGTCACAAGTACATTACAAGTCCAGCCACAAGTACATTACAAGTCCAGCCACAAGTACATTACAAGTCTAGTCACAAGTACATTACAAGTCCAGCCACAAGTACATCACAAGTCTAGTCACAAGTACATTACAAGTCCAGCCACAAGTCCATCACAAGTCCAGCCACAAGTACATTACAAGTCTAGTCACAAGTCCATCACAAGTCCAGTCACAAGTACATTACAAGTCCAGCCACAAGTACATCACAAGTCTAGTCACAAGTACATTACAAGTCTAGTCACAAGTACATCACAAGTCCAGCCACAAGTACATTACAAGTCCAGCCACAAGTACATTACACGTCCAGCCACAAGTCCATCACAAGTCCAGTCACAAGTACATTACAAGTCCAGCCACAAGTACATTACAAGTCCAGTCACAAGTACATTACAAGTCCAGTCACAAGTACATTACAAGTCCAGTCACAAGTACATCACAAGTCCAGTCACAAGTACATTACAAGTCTAGTCACAAGTACATCACAAGTCCAGCCACAAGTACATTACAAGTCTAGTCACAAGTACATCACAAGTCCAGCCACAAGTCCATCACAAGTCCAGTCACAAGTACATTACAAGTCCAGCCACAAGTACATTACAAGTCTAGTCACAAGTACATTACAAGTCCAGCCACAAGTCCATCACAAGTCCAGCCACAAGTACATTACAAGTCTAGTCACAAGTCCATCACAAGTCCAGTCACAAGTACATTACAAGTCCAGCCACAAGTACATCACAAGTCTAGTCACAAGTACATTACAAGTCTAGTCACAAGTACATCACAAGTCCAGTCACAAGTACATCACAAGTCCAGTCACAAGTACATTACAAGTCCAGCCCCAAGTCCATCACAAGTCCAGCCACAAGTACATTACAAGTCCAGCCACAAGTACATTACAAGTCTAGTCACAAGTACATTACAAGTCCAGTCACAAGTACATTACAAGTCTAGTCACAAGTACATTACAAGTCCAGCCACAAGTCCATCACAAGTCCAGCCACAAGTACATTACAAGTCTAGTCACAAGTACATTACAAGTCCAGCCACAAGTACATCACAAGTCCAGTCACAAGTACATTACAAGTCCAGCCACAAGTACATTACAAGTCTAGTCACAAGTACATCACAAGTCCAGTCACAAGTACATTACAAGTCCAGCCACAAGTACATCACAAGTCCAGCCACAAGTACATTACAAGTCCAGTCACAAGTCCATCACAAGTCCAGTCACAAGTACATTACAAGTCTAGTCACAAGTACATCACAAGTCCAGCCACAAGTACATTACAAGTCTAGTCACAAGTACATTACAAGTCCAGCCACAAGTACATCACAAGTCCAGCCACAAGTACATTACAAGTCCAGTCACAAGTACATCACAAGTCCAGCCACAAGTACATTACAAGTCTAGTCACAAGTACATCACAAGTCCAGCCACAAGTACATTACAAGTCTAGTCACAAGTCCAGTCACAGGAACATCACAAGTCCAGTGACAAGTACATCACAAGTCTAGTCACAAGAACATCACAAGTTTAGTCACAGGTACATCACAAAACCAGCCACAAGTACATTACAAGTCTAGTCACAAGTACATCACAAGTCCAGTCACAAGTACATCACAAGTCTAGTCACAAGTACATCACAAGTCCAGCCACAAGTACATTACAAGTCTAGTCACAAGTACATCACAAGTCCAGCCACAAGTACATTACAAGTTAAGTCACAAGTACATTACAAGTCCAGTCACAAGTACATCACAAGTCTAGTCACAAGTACATTACAAGTCCAGCCACAAGTACATTACAAGTCTAGTCACAAGTACATCACAAGTCCAGCCACAAGTACATTACAAGTTAAGTCACAAGTACATTACAAGTCTAGTCACAAGTACATCACAAGTCTAGTCACAAGTACATTACAAGTCCAGTCACAAGTACATTACAAGTCTAGTCACAAGTACATCACAAGTCTAGTCACAAGTACATTACAAGTCCAGTCACAAGTACATTACAAGTCTAGTCACAAGTACATCACAAGTCTAGTCACAAGTACATTACAAGTCCAGTCACAAGTACATTACAAGTCCAGTCACAAGTACATCACAAGTCTAGTCACAAGTACATTACAAGTCCAGCCACAAGTACATTACAAGTCTAGTCACAAGTACATCACAAGTCCAGCCACAAGTACATTACAAGTCTAGTCACAAGTACATCACAAGTCCAGCCACAAGTACATTACAAGTTAAGTCACAAGTACATTACAAGTCTAGTCACAAGTACATCACAAGTCTAGTCACAAGTACATTACAAGTCCAGTCACAAGTACATTACAAGTCTAGTCACAAGTACATCACAAGTCCAGCCACAAGTACATTACAAGTCTAGTCACAAGTACATCACAAGTCCAGCCACAAGTACATTACAAGTCTAGTCACAAGTACATCACAAGTCCAGTCACAGGAACATCACAAGTCCAGTGACAAGTACATCACAAGTCTAGTCACAAGAACATCACAAGTTTAGTCACAGGTACATCACAAAACCAGCCACAAGTACATTACAAGTCTAGTCACAAGTACATCACAAATCCAGCCACAAGTACATCACAAGTCTAGTCACAAGTACATCACAAGTCCAGTCACAAGTACATCACAAGTCTAGTCACAAGGACATCACCAGTCCAGTCACAAGTACATCACAAGTCTAGTCACAAGTACATCACAAGTCCAGCCACAAGTACATTACAAGTCTAGTCACAAGTACATTACAAGTCTAGTCACAAGTACATCACAAGTCCAGCCACAAGTACATTACAAGTCTAGTCACAAGTACATCACAAGTCCAGTCACAGGAACATCACAAGTCCAGTGACAAGTACATCACAAGTCTAGTCACAAGAACATCACAAGTTTAGTCACAGGTACATCACAAAACCAGCCACAAGTACATTACAAGTCTAGTCACAAGTACATCACAAGTCCAGCCACAAGTACATTACAAGTTAAGTCACAAGTACATCACAAGTCCAGTCACAGGAACATCACAAGTCCAGTCACAAGTACATCACAAGTCTAGTCACAAGGACATCACAAGTCCAGCCACAAATACATTACAAGTCTAGTCACAAGTACATCACAAGTCCAGTCACAAGTACATTACAAGTCCAGCCACAAGTACATTACAAGTCTAGTCACAAGTACATCACAAGTCTAGTCACAAGGACATCACAAGTCCAGTCACAAGTACATTACAAGTCTAGTCACAAGTACATCACAAGTCCAGCCACAAGTACATTACAAGTCTAGTCACAAGTACATCACAAGTCCAGCCACAAGTACATTACAAGTCTAGTCACAAGTACATCACAAGTCCAGTCACAGGAACATCACAAGTCCAGTGACAAGTACATCACAAGTCTAGTCACAAGAACATCACAAGTTTAGTCACAGGTACATCACAAAACCAGCCACAAGTACATTACAAGTCTAGTCACAAGTACATCACAAATCCAGCCACAAGTACATCACAAGTCTAGTCACAAGTACATCACAAGTCCAGTCACAAGTACATCACAAGTCTAGTCACAAGGACATCACCAGTCCAGTCACAAGTACATCACAAGTCTAGTCACAAGTACATCACAAGTCCAGCCACAAGTACATTACAAGTCTAGTCACAAGTACATTACAAGTCTAGTCACAAGTACATCACAAGTCCAGCCACAAGTACATTACAAGTCTAGTCACAAGTACATCACAAGTCCAGTCACAGGAACATCACAAGTCCAGTGACAAGTACATCACAAGTCTAGTCACAAGAACATCACAAGTTTAGTCACAGGTACATCACAAAACCAGCCACAAGTACATTACAAGTCTAGTCACAAGTACATCACAAGTCCAGCCACAAGTACATTACAAGTTAAGTCACAAGTACATCACAAGTCCAGTCACAGGAACATCACAAGTCCAGTCACAAGTACATCACAAGTCTAGTCACAAGGACATCACAAGTCCAGCCACAAATACATTACAAGTCTAGTCACAAGTACATCACAAGTCCAGTCACAAGTACATTACAAGTCCATCCACAAGTACATTACAAGTCTAGTCACAAGTACATCACAAGTCTAGTCACAAGGACATCACAAGTCCAGTCACAAGTACATTACAAGTCTAGTCACAAGTACATCACAAGTCCAGCCACAAGTACATTACAAGTCTAGTCACAAGTACATCACAAGTCCAGCCACAAGTACATCACAAGTCTAGTCACAAGTACATCACAAGTCCAGCCACAAGTACATCACAAGTCTAGTCACAAGGACATCACAAGTCCAGTCACAAGTACATTACAAGTCTAGTCACAAGTACATCACAAGTCCAGCCACAAGTACATTACAAGTCTAGTCACAAGTACATCACAAGTCCAGCCACAAGTACATTACAAGTCCAGTCACAAGTACATCACAAGTCTAGTCACAAGTACATCACAAGTCCAGCCACAAGTACATTACAAGTCTAGTCACAAGTACATCACAAGTCCAGCCACAAGTACATTACAAGTTAAGTCACAAGTACATTACAAGTCTAGTCACAAGCACATCACAAGTCCAGCCACAAGTACATTACAAGTCTAGTCACAAGTACATCACAAGTCCAGCCACAAGTACATCACAAGTCCAGCCACAAGTACATTACAAGTCTAGTCACAAGTACATCACAAGTCCAGACACAAGTACATTACAAGTCTAGTCACAAGTACATCACAAGTCCAGCCACAAGTACATTACAAGTCTATAGTCACAAGTACATCACAAGTCCAGTCACAGGAACATCACAAGTCCAGCCACAAGTACATTACAAGTCCAGTCACAAGTACATCACAAGTCTAGTCACAAGTACATCACAAGTCCAGCCACAAGTACATTACAAGTTAAGTCACAAGTACATTACAAGTCTAGTCACAAGCACATCACAAGTCCAGCCACAAGTACATTACAAGTCTAGTCACAAGTACATCACAAGTCCAGCCACAAGTACATCACAAGTCCAGCCACAAGTACATTACAAGTCTAGTCACAAGTACATCACAAGTCCAGCCACAAGTACATTACAAGTCTAGTCACAAGTACATCACAAGTCCAGCCACAAGTACATTACAAGTCTATAGTCACAAGTACATCACAAGTCCAGTCACAGGAACATCACAAGTCCAGCCACAAGTACATTACAAGTCCAGTCACAAGTACATCACAAGTCTAGTCACAAGTACATCACAAGTCCAGCCACAAGTACATTACAAGTCTAGTCACAAGTACATCACAAGTCCAGCCACAAGTACATTACAAGTTAAGTCACAAGTACATTACAAGTCTAGTCACAAGCACATCACAAGTCCAGCCACAAGTACATTACAAGTCTAGTCACAAGTACATCACAAGTCCAGCCACAAGTACATCACAAGTCCAGCCACAAGTACATTACAAGTCTAGTCACAAGTACATCACAAGTCCAGCCACAAGTACATTACAAGTCTATAGTCACAAGTACATCACAAGTCCAGTCACAGGAACATCACAAGTCCAGTCACAAGTACATCACAAGTCTAGTCACAAGAACATCACAAGTCTAGTCACAAGAACACCACAAGTCTAGTCACAAGTGCATCATAAGCCCAGTCACAAGTACATCACTAGTCTGTTCACAAGTACATCACAAGTCTGGTGGCAAGTACATCACAAGTCGAGTCCAAGTATATCACAAGTTTAGTCACAAGTAAATCACAAGTCCAGTCACAAGTATATCACAAGTCCAGTCACAAGTTCATCTCAAGTCTGGTGGCAAGTACATCACAAGTCCAGTCACAAGTACATCACAAGTCCAGTCATAAGTAAATCACAAGTCCAGTCACAAGTACATCACAAGTCTAGTCACAAGAACACCACAAGTCTAGTCACAAGTGCATCATAAGCCCAGTCACAAGTACATCACTAGTCTGTTCACAAGTACATCACAAGTCTGGTGGCAAGTACATCACAAGTCGAGTCCAAGTATATCACAAGTTTAGTCACAAGTAAATCACAAGTCCAGTCACAAGTATATCACAAGTCCAGTCACAAGTTCATCTCAAGTCTGGTGGCAAGTACATCACAAGTCCAGTCACAAGTACATCACAAGTCCAGTCATAAGTAAATCACAAGTCTAGTCACAAGTACATCACAAGTATTGTACTTTAATATAGCTCTATGAGAACATCAGAGTCCAGCCGCAAAGGATCGAGACCCAAGTAGGAAAATTACTATAAAAATAGAAAAACAACCCTTAGTACAGCTAGTCGGACTGCCTGTGAAATTATTCTCTCTGGCATTACATGTTGTCATTGTGAAGAACACAATAAAAGAAGGCCATTTCTAAATAGTGTGTCAAATGACACATTTTTTGGAAGTTTTTATTTAGTTGGTTTGTGATCGAACTAATCTGTGAATGGGTGTGCACACGCGTTGACATGACTCATTCAGCGGTTTAGTGTGCAACATTGCAAAGCTTAAATCAGCTGAATGAGAACAAACGTGTCTCGGAAACTTTTGAATAGAAATTGAGATCCTAGAATATTGTTTCCTCTGAAAACACAGCATTCACATATCTTTAACTTCATTTGGGGTACTTGTTAAGCACCCATCTTTAGATTTTGAGCACGTTTGTTGCTTCAAATGGGAAAAAAATCACAAATGACAAATGATCTACCCTTCCTTCAATTTTCACTGCTGCAAATTCTCAAGTCCATCATATTTCAAAGGAAGCATGAGATATCTGTTTCAATCAATCTCTTTTCTTTTTCCTTTCTTTTATTTCAGGGCAAAGGTGAAAGCCTGACGTACTGGCTCGAGGGACATGATCCAAGCTACAAGATCGACCAAATCAAGCCACCCAAACAAAACTTGTTAACAACCAGAATATTATCCAAACATTATCTGCAACGCATTTGGATCAGCAATTTTTTGTAAAGAGGTAAAAAGCATAATCAGCTATTATACCACAGCGTTTGTAGGTCTATTTGAAAAACCTAACAACAAATTCAAATTAACACCCAATTGTGTGTTCACCAACAGATTTGTTGTTCGCGTTTACAGCTTTCATTTAGCAACTTTAAGAAAAAGATTCAGGAAAAAAAAGGTTTAGGCCTAATCGCACTTGTACAATAAGTAACTTTGATCAAGTCGCCTATTTTTTTTTTTTTTTACAAAGACTGAAGTATTTTGTAGTCGCCTTTTAATCTACTACCATGTGGAAGTTGTAACAAAAATTCTGTCATCAAACAAACAGACTGTGAGTTCATAACTATATTGTTGAGAGTCACTAATTTGGTATTAAATTGTATTCAAACTAGTGATGCGTTTAAAAAAATATTCTTTGTCTGTACCATCCAAGCTTGGGAAAAAATAGCAAAGTGGTACTGCTTTGTTTGTTTGAGTTCTCATATGGGCTTACATCATTTGACTTGGTGCCCTATCATTTGCCTTGGTGCCCTTGTGCTCCTTAGTGCTAAATATTTGAGGCGGTGCAGCACTAAAGGGCACTGTTGTAGCTACAGAAAATTTTAAAGAAAAAAAAGAAATTGACTTAACAGATCAAAATTGACGCGCAACGATTTTTTATGGCTGAATGGACAATAATGCAAGTGGGGGATTTTTGTTTTCTTTTTATTTTCAGATTGAGTGATATTAATAACCTTTGATAGTTACTACTTATGTTTTAAGGAAATTGTATAAAAAATATGGAGTAAGGTCTAAGGCATGTTTAAAGTAAAACCAATGGGCTTTTTTCATTGTTTTTGTCATGTAATGCTGCGGCCGGGTGAGGTGGGGTAGAGGGCGCTATTCAGGACTTTCTTTTGTCACCTTGCAAGATGTAATGATGCCAAGTCACTATAAATTTATATTTCCCGGATTCGTTTGTATCAAAGATATATAACTAGGCATCCTATCCTATCTACAAGGATGGGACTAATAAGGGAGCAAAGACACTTCTTCTTCATTGAAACAATAATTTATTCTTAAAAACTCTAAGAGTTCTCTGAACCAATTTGACATCTGTATTTATAGGACTCAGCTATCATTCTTGTTCATCTGGCATCCGCTACGAATACCGCAAAATCTTTGTTTGTATACACGTTATCCGATGCAAACTGGTTAACCTATTTTTTTTTTAACCTTGTTCCACTCGAATTTGCAGGATAGCTAATAATGAATACAAGTAAATCTCTCAATCAGTATCAAACATTTTTTCCCAAATTGACAATATTCAAATTTCTTGACCAGGTGATGGCAGATCTACCAGCTCACTTCACATCAGAGAGCTCTCTTGAGAAGCACTATAGAAGCACTATAAGGCCCAGGAGAAGGACTGCTTCTCACGGCTAGAACAGACTCAGACCAGAGCTCTCTTGAGAAGCACTATACGGCCCAGGAGAAGGACCGCACCAAGTACATCACTACCTTGCTGATGCTTCACAGGGATGGAACAGACTCAGAACAGAGCTCTCTTGAGAAGCACTATACGGCCCAGGAGAAGGAATGCTTCTCACGGCTAGAACAGACTCAGACCAGAGCTCTCTTGAGAAGCACTGTACGGCTCAGGAGGAGGACCGCATCAAGTACATATACATCACTACCTTGCTGGTGCTTCATCACAGGGATGGAAGAGACTCAGACCAGAGCTCCATTGAGAAGCACTATGCGGCCCAGGAGAAGGACCGCACCAAGTACACATCACTACCTTGCTGGTGCTTCGCAGGGATGGAAGAGACTCAGACCAGAGCTCCCTTGAGAAGCACTATGCGGCCCAGGAGAAGGACTGCACCATGTACACATCACTACCTTGCTGGTGCTTCACAGGGATGGAATAGACTTGAAGTACTGCAAAGTAAGACTTTTCATATTTGAAGAGAAAATCATACTGTACTTTAAAACGGTTGAGGGATTAACAGCAAAAGATCTTTCTTCAGTGCTTAAGGGTTATTCAGGTAAGCTTTGCTTAATTTTAGTGCGTTCGATTACTTCCCCCACGCTTACTCGTGCAAGCACGACAGCATTCGATTGACCTCTCACGTGACTTCTCGTGCTTACTCAAGCTTGGCCCAAGTAACCGACTCACCGAGCCAGTTACTTGGGTAAGTATCCCATAAGGCCATACAATGAACACGGCTGCCAACGTGACGTTCGGCGGGCGCCTCAGGCCATGTCCGAAACAGGCTTCCAGAGCCACGGCTACGTCTATTGTCAGTGCGTCCCCGCCACTATTTTCAGTGGGCGCAGAGCTAGACCTAGCTCTAGACACTTGATTCGGATGCAGCCTCAGTGTCATGTCAAAGTTCAACTTTCCAGCTCCTTGCACAAAACTTAACCCGGAACCTTTCGTTTATTTAGCTCCACTGCGCATGTCTGTCATCACGCGAGCCAAGCGCGAGTAAGCTGGGGAAAATAATCAAACGCACTCATTGTGTAACATACAGTCATCCATATTGTTGAAATGAGGCTGATAGATGTGCATTCTGATGGTTATGCAACACCACAGACTTCAACAGATTCCAAAATTATTTATTTCATAAGTCTCTAGTTTCATAAGTAACTATAAAGTATCTGTGGTTTCATGGTTTGAACGAAAAAAAAGAGGTAAATTTATTTCCCAGATGCGAAGGGAAATGTGTAGAGAAGAAAACTATAATTGGGATAACACTGAAATTATGTTTGATTTTTTTATGAAAAAATGTCGTCAAAGTTTTGAGGTTAGTTGAAAAACACCTAATGTTAGAAACTAAGTGCATTTGTCAGAGGAATCAACAATAATGTACATTATATTGTTTTTGTTCAGCGAAACAAGCAAAATGTGCCTTTAAACGTTAACAGGAAATTAGCAATAATGAATGGGACAGTTTTCAGTTTAAATCTTACACTTTTTTGAAGGATTAATATTTTATGGACCAAAAAATGACCAACCATAGCTACACATGGAAGTATTTCAAATGATTTTATTGAAATTATCCGTTAAAATTAACTACCAATGCTGTGTTTATGCACATTTGTATAAAAGCTGTAAATAGTACTGTAGAATAATTTCAGAGTACATATTAACAATGTATGAAGTCTGTACCATGTAACATTATTGAAACTGCCTTTCTAACTATCCATGGCATCGCAAGGCAGTGGTTTTCTGTACAAATTATTCCTGTTATTATTTACTTTTCTCTTGTGTATGAATTGTTCTGTCGGTCATAATTATTTCAATAAATCAAATCAGTCATCAGTAATTACAATGTTTTTGTCAATGCGTCTTCTCTCGAGATGTGTGGAATTGAACTGTAGCCAGCTGAAAAACATGATCTGTTAAGTTCCAATGCACTATTAGAATAATTATGATTGGATCAAACAATTTGATTTGTAGCTCCAAAAAAACACAATTGTTTGCCTTTTTTTGTTTGTCAAAAAAAAAGAAAGAGCAATCTGGATGGTAGATTTTTTTTTTTTCAAAAAAATAAATAGACAGGAAGTTGAAATATTAGAATTTGTAAGAGAGTTTCAGAGTTGTGTGTGGCTAAGTGTGGAAGCACTGTTATTGAAATTTATTTAGGGAACCTAAGAGCTAAGTTTATAAAATAGGGAAATGTACTGGGGGGACCCAAGTAGTGCACTGGTTAGTAGTTGTGACTGGAAACCCAGGCGTTGTGGGTTCAGGTCCTGCATGCATCGAATTTTGGGTCCGAATTTTGGGTCCGAATTTTGGGTCCGAATTTTGGGTCCGAATTTTGGGTCCGAATTTTGGGTCCGAATTTTGGGTCCGAATTTTGGGTCCGAATTTTGGGTCCGAATTTTGGGTCCGAATTTTGGGTCCGAATTTTGGGTCCGAAACCACTTTTCAACTATATCATCATTTTTTCATACTCATTATATATTTCGCCTTATGAATATTCATTGATTTCCTGATGAATATTCAGTGGTGAAACCACTTTTCAGCTATACCATCATTTGTTCATACTCATTATATATTTCGCCTTATGAATATTCAGTGGTGAAACCACTTTTCAGCTATACCATCATTTGTTCATACTCATTATATATTTCGCCTTATGAATATTCAGCTATACCATCATTTGTTAATACTCATTATATATTTCGCCTTATGAATATTCAGTGGTGAAACCACTTTTCAGCTATACCATCATTTGTTCATACTCATTATATATTTCGCCTTATGAATATTCAGCTATACCATCATTTGTTCATACTCATTATATATTTCGCCTTATGAATATTCAGTGGTGAAACCACTTTTCAGCTATACCATCATTTGTTCATACTCATTATATATTTCGCCTTATGAATATTCAGCTATACCATCATTTGTTCATACTCATTATATATTTCGCCTTATGAATATTCAGTGGTGAAACCACTTTTCAGCTATACCATCAATTGTTCATACTCATTATATATTTCGCCTTATGAATATTCAGCTATACCATCATTTGTTCATACTCATTATATATTTCGCCTTATGAATATTCAGTGGTGAAACCACTTTTCAGCTTTACCATCATTTGTTCATACTCATTATATATTTCGCCTTATGAATATTCAGCTATACCATCATTTGTTCATACTCATTATATATTTCGCCTTATGAATATTCAGTGGTGAAACCACTTTTCAGCTATACCATCATTTGTTCATACTCATTATATATTTCGCCTTATGAATATTCATTGATTTCCTGATGAATATTCAGTGGTGAAACCACTTTTCAGCTATACCATCATTTGTTCATACTCATTATATATTTCGCCTTATGAATATTCATTGATTTCCTGATGAATATTCAGTGGTGAAACCACTTTTCAGCTATACCATCATTTGTTCATACTCATTATATATTTCGCCTTATGAATATTCATTGATTTCCTGATGAATATTCATTAATCATTCTTTTTCCTTATTTTAAGCTATTAAACAATTGCTATTGGACAAATGCTAAATAAAGTGAACACACAAGGTATAAAAGCTTTTCTTTCCATTTTGTTTCTCTTTATTTCTTCAATAATCACATCATTACTCTGACAAGTTCTTGAATTTTAAGCACCAAAGCACAAGGTAAAAACACATTTTTATCCAAAATTTACAACGGTAAGGGGTTAGCCTTGCATTTTTATCCAAAAGAGGCAAACTAACACGTTTTTATCCAAAATTTAAAACGATAAGGGGTTAACCTTGCATTTTTATTAAAAAGGGGCAAAAACACGTTATTATCCAAAATTTTAAACGGTAAGGGGTTAGCCTTGCATTTTTATCAAAAAGGAGCAAAAACACATTTTTATCCAAAATTTACAACGGTAAGGGGTTAGCCTTGCATTTTTATCCAAAGGGAAACACATTTTTATCCAAAATTTAAAACGGTAAGGGGTTAACCTTGGATTTTAATCAACAAGAGGCAAAAACACTTTTTATCCAAAATTTACAACAGTAAGGGGTTTGCCTTGAATTTTTATCAAAAAGGGGCAAAAACACAATTTTATTCATAATTTACAACAGTAAGGGGTTAGCCTTGCATTTTTATCAAAAAGGGGCAAACACACATTTTTATCCAAATTTTAAAACAGTAAGGGGTTAGCCTTGCATTTTTATCTAAAAGGGGCAAAAACACGTTATTATCCAAAATTTAAAACGGTAAGGGGTTAGTTAGCCTTGTATTTTTATCAAAAAGAGGCAAAAACACATTTTTATCCAAAATTTACAACAGGAAGGGGTTAGCCTTGCATTTTTACCAAATAGAGGCAAAAAACACATTTTTATCCAAAATTTAAAACGGTAAGGGGTTAACCTTGCATTTTTATTAAAAAGGGGCAAAAACACGTTATTATCCAAAATTTAAAACGGTAAGGGGTTAGCCTTGCATTGTTATCAAAATGGGGCAAAAACACATTTTTATCCAAAATTTACAACGGTAAGCATGGTAAGGGGTTAGCCTTGCATTTTTATCAAAAAGGGGCAAAAAAACATTGTTATCCACATTTTAAAACGGTAAGGGGTTAGCCTTGCATTTTTATCAAAAAGGGGCAAAACACATTTTTATCCAAAATTTAAAACGGTAAAGGGGTTAGCCTTGCATTTTTATCCAAAAGAGGCAAAAACACATTTTTATCCAAAATTTACAACAGTAAGGGGTTAGCCTTGAATTTTTATCAAAAAGGGGCAAAAACACGTTATTATCCAAAATTTAAAACGATAAGGGGTTAACCTTGCATTTTTATTAAAAAGGGGCAAAAACACGTTATTATCCAGAATTTAAAACGGTAAGGGATTAGCCTTTCATTTTTATCAAAAGGGG